ACTGTGAGGAGGGTTTCCTCTCCACAGCCACTACAAGCTCCACCACGCCATCGCTCCTCCTAGCCCCAGGATGGCCACCCAGAACTGTAACCCAGATCCAAGCACGGGCAAAGCAAGATAATCCTGCACCAGCAGAGAGATTCCTGCAGCCCCGCTCTGGTCAGCCACTCGATTCCCCCTCAGTCTGTGGGCCGGAAGCTCAGGAAGTAGCCGCTGCCCCAAGGAATGGGACTGGGATCCCGTGCTCTGCTCTTCTCTCACCACCGCAGTCACAGACTTTTCCTATTGACCTTCTAAGTTGTCTTTGGCATTCGTGGGTTGAGAAGTCTGGAAACCGCCACAGCTGCCGGCAATTCAGTCCTCTGAGGCCTGCTCCAGGGCCTCTGCGGTCTGTGCGCCCACACCGAACTCCGCTCCTCTCCCAGCCTGGCGCGATATACCTTTCTGATCAACTGTCCAAGCTGTCTTTGGCTGGAAATTTGTTTCACTCTGTCTTTTTGTGGGTTCTGCTGCTTTAGAATTTGTTTAGCGCCATTTTTTATAGGTATTTGGAGGGGTTTGGGGGAGAGCTCTAGCAAGTCACGGATTTTACTCCTCCATCTTGGCTCCGCCCCTGAAAAAAGTTAATTTTAAAGAGCCAGACTGCTTGTTGGCTTTTAAGTCTTTAGGGCCAAAATAATTAATCTTTGAACTTCATAGTACTCCTCTCCGCATACACTGTGTTATAGCCAAACTGAACTACTTATTGTGTAGTGGTCATGTTCTGCCACCTTTTGTCTTTGTATTTTTTTTCATTCATGGACATGAATTATTTTCTTTTTGCTCCATCTATTCTCTTGCAGTTTTTTCTTTCAGTCAATGCCCAACTCAGAACCTTTTCCATCTATAAAATCTTCCTTGATCATTGGACTTTATCTCTTTCCCTTGGCTTCTTTTCTTTTCTTTTGCTTTTATTACTTTCTTATTTTATATTCTAGTAGATATATAGTAGATTTATGTAGATTATCTTTTACTATTTCATTCTTCCCAGATTGGAAACTACTTTAGGCCATGGATTTTATCTGACTTCATCTTTTTATCTCTATCTTGTAACATAGTGTCTTATTTATATGTAATCTTATTTATATGTAAGTCATCACTTCATAGGATCAAAGATTTGGAGCATTACAATATTAGCTTGCCTACCCATGAGCAACTGATATTTTTCCAATTATTTAAATCTGACTTTATTTGTGTGAAAAGTGTTTTGTAATTGTGTTCATATAGTTCCTGGTTTTGTTTTGGCAAGTACACTCCCAAATATTTTGTAATGTCTACAGTAACTTTAAATGGAATTTCTCTTTCTATTTCATGCTGTTGGGTTTTATTAGTAGTATATAGAAATGCCAATGATTTGTGTGGGTTTATTTTACATCCTGCAACTTTGCTAAATTTGTTTATTATTTCAAGTAATTTTTTACTTGATTTTCTAGGATTCTCTAAATATACCATCATATCATCTACAAATAGTGATAGCTTTGTTTCTGCTTTGCCTATTCTAATTCATTCAATTTCTTTTTCTTCTCTTATTGCTATAGCTAACATATCCAGCACAATATTGAACAACAGTGTCGTGATAATGGACATCCTTGTTTCACCCCCCGATCTTATTGGAAATACTTCTAGCTTATCCTCATTACATATAATGTTTGCTGGTGGGTTTTGATAGATATTGTCTATCATTT